CATATTCTATATGAAGAAGCTTTTCCTTCTCTATTTGTCATCTTTTCTGTTCCTTTTTATGTATTTTTAACCTAGACTTTTTGATGAACTGTCTGGTGGCTGTTGATCATTCCTGAACTCAGAGACAATTCCACGGGCTTTACTAAATAAGCCGGAATAAAATAAACACAATACTTATATATCAGTAGGTTTCTTTTTGCTACTGCTAAATTACAGACTACTGATTGTATGTGTCAACTCTCTCTCTCAGTGCCACTGATGTTAATTAATCACATATAGAAAGCAGTTCATTTTTTGAATTTGGCTTTTTGCTGCATTTTATATATTTATTCTCCCCAGTGTTGTATCCATATTATTCCCACATAAAACTCATAGTCAAATCCAAAAGCATTAGATATCTTCTGTTTCTTTTTAAAGATTTCATTTAAATGTGTCCAGTATGCAACTTTTATTAATGATCTATAGAAACATTTTTGTTACTCAGGAATGGATCACAATAGATACAGGCTCTTGTTTTTCTGTATAACTTGAATTCCTCTCTTCTGACGATAGCTGTAACTGAGGTTCTCTAAGAGTTTAATGTACAGTATTCTGGAATGCAGTGGCAGTGTTTTCTACCTGTAAATGATATTTTGTGGAGCCATGCATCTCAAAGTATGTTCTAAAGAAGTTTGCATCTCTTCAGAAGTTTATCTAATATAAGTACAGTGGTGCCTCGCTTAGCGATGTTAATTCGTTCCAAAAAGTCGCTGCTAAGCGATTTCATCACTAAGCGAAACGCGGTTTCCCATTGAAATGCATTGAAAACCGGATAATCCGTTCCAATAGGAACGAATTGCCGTCCTTAAGCGAAAATCACCATAGGAAACATCGCTAAGCGAAACGCGGTTCCCCAATTGAAATGCATTGAAACCTATTCAATGCATCTCAATGGGGGGAAAAATACAACAATAAATTTAAAAAAGAGTCAGAACAAAGTCAAATTTGGTTAACAAAGGGTTTATTAAGTGCACTTTATGGTTTCAAACATTTTAAACAGTAAACTTTAACTTTATAAATAACAGAAAAACATTTAAAAAACAGCAGACATGAGGCAGGAACTTTAAGTTTATAAACTTTAACTTAGAAAGACATTTGAAAAACAGCAAACATGAGGCAGGAACATTTGGATCGTACAAAACTCTTCATAAAGTGCAGAAACATACAGAAACTCTTCATAAAGTGCAGAAACATACAGAAAATTTTCAGGAACTGCATAAACATACAGAAACCAACAGTACAGAAACTTTTTAGATTTAACATTTTAAAACTGAACAAGTGAGGCTGAAGTCTCTAAACCACTAGGACCAGTGTTCAATGCAGGAACCTGGAGGCACACATCACAGCAAGCAGCAATCTTCTAGGAGGACGAGGGGGAGGAAGAAGGCAACTGGGCACCACTGGTGGAAGGAGAAGGTTCCTCTTCCTGTCTTGGCCTCTTCGTGAGGAACCGTGAGGAACCTTTCCATGGTCAGTTGCCTCTGCCTCCTTTTGAGCATCCCTCTGAAAGGGGATATGACCTTTTCATCATAAGTGTTGGAACATTGATGTGCCACAGCCGTGTCCAGGTGGTGCCGCTGTGCTACAGTCTGCACAAACTGCCAGCAGTGCAAGAACTTCTTCAGGTCGCTGGTGGACAGATGTTCCTTCTCCGAGTCTTCTTCCTGCTCCTTCATTGCCCATGCCTGCATCTCAACCAGCTCCTGGGGGGACAGATCCTGGTCGTGGCCCTCCACCAGTTCAGTAATGTCCTCCTCTGTGACCTCGAGGCCCATGTTCCACCCCAAGGCCACAATGTCCTGCATCACTGTGGACTCTGGTGCAGGCACAGAAACACCAGTCGCCACACAGTCTGGCCAGAGGTTGCGCCAAGCAGTGTTCAGGTTCCTCTGGCTGATTCCATCCCAGGCCATGGCGATCAACTTCAGACAGATGACGATGTCGAACTCCTCCCTCCAGAAATCACGCAGGGTGAGGCTGGTGGCATCGGTCACCTCAAAGCAGCGCCGGAAAAACTCCTTTGTGTACCTTTTCTTAAAGTTGGCGATGACCTGCTGATCCATCGGCTGGAGGCCTGGAGGATGGGCAGGAGCATTGTCCATCAGGAGCAGGGCCTTCAGTGGCAGGTCGTTGTCCAGCAGGTACCTCCTGACAGCTGGGCCAAAAGCGTGATTGACCCAGTCCACAAAGAGGACGTGTGTGACCCAAGCCTTGGCATTGGATCGCCATATCGCCCTCAGCCAGGCTTTGTCCACCTTGTGCTTCTTGAAAGCCCATGGATGCTCAAAGTGGTACACCAGCAAGGGCTTCATCTTCAGGTCCCCGCTGGCGTAGCTTCAGGAAAGATGCAGGAAGGGGCTACAGCTTAGTGGTACAACACGTTTCATATGCAGAAAGAAGGTCACCGATTCAGTCCCAGCATCCCAAAGTAATCTGGGAAAGAACTCTTCCCGAAATGCTAGAGAGCCGTTACCTGTCTTTATGGAGAGTTCAGCTAGCTAGATGGACCAGTGATCTGGCTCGGTATAAGGCTGATTATCTGTATTTCAGTGAGAATGTTGAAACCATATGGTCAATATGCCCCACATGAACAGGAATTACATCCTTAAAAATCCTAGCATTTTCTGAAATGAATTGAGGCTCCATGATAGTGAATAAGGATTAAAAAATTAAGTAATAAAAGGATTGTTCCCTTGTTCAAATTGACATTTCTGGATATATGATTTTAGTATGTTCTTCTAATATGTTTTTACACTAAAATAACAGTGGCTGACTCCAGTTATGGCAGATACTAATCTTCATTTTCTGCTTGAGAAAATAGTATGGTGCTCATTTCTTCTATTTCTTGGTACTGTGATGAGGGAATGTATTTATTTATTTATTATTTGAATTTATATCCTGCACCATCTGGCAACCAGGCCACTCTGGGTGGCTAACAACAATATAAGGAGAAAAAAAAATCAAAACATGATAAAAATAAGTTAATACATAAATCAAAAATTAAAACAGATGGCAGTAAGGTGGTGGAAAGGGTGATGGAAAGGATAGCAAAAAGCATTGTAAAAATGGAGGGCAAGATCCTAGTGCTTCGGGAAAGCCTGGTGGAAGAGTCAGGTCTTCAAGGCTCTTTTGAATCTGTCCAGTGAGGGTGCAAGATGAATTTCAGTTGGCAGGTTGTTTCATAGGCGGGGGGCAACCACTGAAAAGGTCCGGTTTCTAGTTCTTTCCCTCTGGGCCTCCTTTGGTGTCAAGGCCCTCAACTGCCCTGCCTGTGAGGAATGGGTATTACATACAGATCTGGTTGGGAGCAGGTGTTCTGATAGGTACCAAGGTCCTAAACCATTTAGGGCTTTGAATGTTATCATCATAACATTCTTGAAGTTGATGCAGAAACGAACTAGTAGCCAATGAAGGGGATGCCAGAGTGGGGGAGATGTGCTGAAATTTATTCACCCCAGTTATTAATCTGGCTGCTGAATTCTGGACCAGTTGAAGTCTCTGCATCAGCCTCAAGGGTAGCCCCACGTGGAGACTACTGCAGTAGTCTATTCTTGAGATTACAAGGGCATGAATAGGGACGCAGCTGGGCAATCCTCCGGAGATGGAAATGGGCTGTCCTGACCACAGATGCCACCTGGGTTTCCATGGGAGATCCGGGTCCAGGTAGATGCCCAAGCTGCAAACCTCACTCTTCGTAGGAAGAGTCACTCCCCCAAAGGAGAGAGAGCTTCCTAACCCACTGATGCTGGGGCTGTCCACACTCAAGATTTCCGTCTTGTCCAGATTCAACCTCAGTCCATTTGCCCTCATCCACCCCAGAATGCATTCAAGGGACAGAAAAGCATCCACTGCAGTAGGAGAAAAGGAGAGGTAGAGCTGGGTGTCATCAGCATACGGGTGGCACCGAGCTCCACAACTCCAGATGACTTCATCCAGCAGCCTCATATAGATATTAAATAGCATTGGCCAAATGATCGACCGCTGTGGAACCCCACAATTGAGGATCCACAGGGTGGGAGTCATTCCACCAAGCTGCACTCTCTGGGGACAGTCCTCCAGGAAGGAATCTATATACAACTGTCACATGTTTTCTGTATTACTGGCAATCCATATTGTTACAAAGTGACAAGCCATTAGATTGTATTTAAAAAATCACAAAAGAGTAGTAATCTACTGTATGAGAAGCTGTTATATCCAGCAGTGTCATAATTGAGATGTTGCACAGGGCAGATGCACATATAGATGTGTAGATAAGCAATAAGTGAACACCAAACTTTATACGTTTCACCACCACCATACTCTAGTTGGATAGCTAAGAACAAATATTGCGGATGAATGCATGTCCCAGATTTCACTCAAGTGAAATTTTTACCACCAGAAAAAAATTAAAATGCAATCTGATTTGTTCAAAATGGGAAAGAGAGGATGGAAACCATTGAGAAAATGAATAAAGTATCTGTAGAGAACACCAATTCTGGCTGTGCGATTCACAAGAACCTCCAAAAGTCATAGATCAAATATTTAAATCTGCATGTTAATGGAAATTTTTGAATGACTGGAGTGTAATTCTGCCATAGATCATAATATATATAATCTACAACACAATCCATGGAGGAAAGTTATAGCCTTCTAAATCAAGATTGTCTTACAGCATTTACTCTAGAGATGCGTCTTTCAGGAGGCTGTCAGATTTCTTCACATTGCTAAACAACTACTGATACTGTGCAATGATTTATATAATTGTGGGTAATATAGCAAGCAATCTAACAGAATTTGGTCCTGTTTTCCAATTGGCTATGGACAAGGGATTTCACACATTACTGAGGACTTACAGGAACTCAGTGGGATTCTGCTAAGATGATCAAGGTTAAATTAAAAACTAGGGCTGCTGTAAAGGGGATGGTGTGGCCAGTAGCCTCACCATATTTGGTGATTTATTTTGTTTTTAAATGTTGGCACAGACTTAAAAAGGAATTGGAAAGTTACAGAGAAGATGAAATGGAAAATGCCTGTGAGGCTCTTCAAACGGAAATTGAATTTCTGCAGATGGTATGCCCTTTTAACTTAACCTTTATTATATTTGATCATTTTAGTTGAGAAAATTCTGTTATTCTGTAGATACAATGCTTCTGTCTAAACAATACAGTACCGGACAGGTGGAACTACTTTGCCCTTCAGGCAGTGATATCTAGTTTCTATTATGCCTATGTCACTATGTTAGCTTCTATTACGTTCATACAGTTTGTAGCTCCTGAAAGTACCGTAGTGGGTCAGGGAGCTAAACCTGCCCCTCTCAGTCTCATTTGATATTGCAAATTGGCATTCTCCAGATATTCCTTTAAGAATCGATAGAAAAGATAGATGGCAGGCAGATGAAGAGTGAAAAAGACAGTTCACATCCACCGCAAGAGGCCATCTTGCCAGGTTTGGTAGCCATATTGCATCAGAGTTGAATTACAAAACATCCTTGGGTTTAGGATTTGAAAGTTCTCCCACCTGCAATCTAGTCTTACCAGATTGTGACCTGGAGATCCGGCTTGTCCTTGGAAACATTTGAACACAATGGAAGTGTATCCCAACTAGTTGTTCCAGTGTTATTTTGCCCACTTCCACCTTCAGGTGCTGCAGCCATCTGTGTCTGGCAGGTAAACAATCCCTCTAGTTAGAATTAATAAGGGAAAATATCTTGCTCTGTAATACTCAGTACCATTGTACTGTTTTGCCAAGTTTTGCACATTTGGCCATTTGTTGGGGAGAACAGTTTACGTATATCAGTGATGGCAAACCTACAGCACGCGTGCCACAGCTGGCACGTGAAGCCCTTTCTTCTGGCACACGACAAACCTTTCGAAGTGGCTGCAGCTGGGATTCCCCCTTTCTCTTCCTGTTCTCTGTCCTTTAACTTCCTGTCTGTCCCCATGATTCCCCCTTTAACTTCCTGTCCTTACCCATGATTCCCCTTTAACTTCCTGTCCATCCCCATGATTCCCCCTGAAACTGCCACTTCCTGTTCCAGTTCTGGTCTTCTGGGCGGCATGGCAGTCACTGGTTTCTTCCCCACCCCTTGTTTTGGGCACTCGAGCTGAAAAAGTTTTGCCTCCACTGGTTTATATGCATATACAAAGTGCTCTTCTGTGTGCCTCTAAATGTACATCTCTTGCTGATTCAAAAAGATAGCTGGAACCTCATCTCTTGGATTGTCTGGACAATCACATGAATGAAACATCTCCTGGTGACTGCTGTGTCCCAAAAGGTTTGTTACATGTAGAAAAACTGTTAGGTCATATGTTATACTTATGGGAGTGGCCCATTAGTCATAGTCCAAGGTAGGGTACCTTAGCCTATACACTGGCCGTACATCAGAGCCCTGGGTTGGTGACACAGAAAGAACTGGATTCATTTCTTTTTTTTATGCTGGCTGTGTCTCCAAATCCCACCAACCCAATGTTATTTTAGCAATAAAGGGAAAAATACAATTGCAGGTGGGAGAACTTTCAAGACTTTCAATGGTGGTAAAAGACTCTTGAGGGAGGGATTGGTAGCAAAAGAATAAAAACAGCCATTTGCTCTTTGTTTCTCCTTATTCACTTTGCTCTCTACGTTATAATGGTCCAAACATGTGTTTGCAAATACCAAAGTTGTTGTTTCTTCAGAGTTATTGCATCCTCACAGTAAAGAACAGAGAACACGCTGACAGTTAGTTATTTTCCATAGTTCTTTTCTTTTCTTTTGTTGCAGAAACTGTTACAAAAAAACCTTCACTCAGATAAGTAACATATGGAGGGTTGATTCAAATGTCACTGAAACAAGTCTTTGTAGTATTTGGAAAAATGCTACTTTTGTAAGTCTTTGTTGTTAAATCTATCATCCTCTATTTTTCCTGGTAGCAAAAGAAGGGAGTCTGTTTTTCACAACATATATTGTATCTTTTCTTTTGGCTATTCATTAGCACAGTTTTCTGGCAACTATAAATAAATTATTTTTTGGAAATGTATGTATGTATGTATGTATGTATGTATGTATGTATGTATGTATGTATGTATGTATGTATGTATGTATGTATGTATGTATGTATGTATGTATGTATGTATATCTCTGTGTGTGTCTGTCTGTCTGTCAATCACCATCTCTTGTAGAGGTTGACAATTCCACATAATAGTTCTACATGTAAGTTCCAGCATACAAAAAACCCAGTCTAGTGTATTCTCAGTATGTTTGTGTGTTTAACTGGGAAAGGTAGATTACAGCAATAACTCTAAGGCAATGTTACCAGACAGTCATGGTTGCCCATGAAACTGGACACCGTTTTGGTTTTTTAGTAGCTGATGTGGATTTTATTTCACTCCGTTGTTTAGAAGTTCCAACTAAGGTTGAAATGTTTAATTATTTCTGATTAATGGCACTGTTCAGATGAAAGTTTATCTCATTTTCACAAAATCTTCAGTGCTCATTTTTGATCTGTTTTGTTATATATAAAAATATTAAATAATCATTTAATATTCACTGTTATTACAACTGATCATTTTATTTTAGTATGTATTATTCTTTTCCATAAATATATATTTTTCCACAGAAATTTTTCACTGGTTGAGCAAAAGTGTTTTCACTAGCTTTTCAGACTTCAAATATCTTTTCATCAGTCAACTACGTTTCTAGTTCTGAAAATGAAACTGTGAAAGAATTTGAAGGCTATGTATGCAGGTCATGTTGGGAAGACTGACTTCTAACAGTTCAATTTTGGTTTGTAATGTATTTATGGCTTTCATGTCACTGTGTCCCAAATTATGTGCCTTTACCAGTGAGAGATCATCCTGGGAACAGAAATAAAACTAGTGATCATGTTTTCCTATTTATATGCAGTGCAAAGACAAATTAGTATTATCTTCTATGTTTCAAAGGAAGCATCAAGAAATGGAGCCAGAGCTTATAAGTAGGATAGCCAGAAGCAAATCTGATTTTTTTTTCATGTGGCCATATAACCACAAAATGAAATAAAGCCTTCCCTATCATGTAAAATTGATCGATATAAATCATATTGAGCTAAACAAATCACTCAGGAGCACAGAAATAAAACAGGATTATGGTTAAAACAAAGGGTACATTTCATTTATAATGTTTTGCTTTATATTAAAATGTTCAAATTAGTCACCATAATCACATCCATGGAACACTCAGAGCCTGATTTTATGTATTCATGCACAAAGTTTGTGTGTGTGTGCACGTGCATACATGCACGCGCGCGCACACACACACATATGGAATATTTAAATCAAAAATGAGAAATCCTTGAAATAATGAGGACAGAAAAGATGGATTTTATGTGATTTTTAATTAGAATGCTGAAGAATAGAACATTTTCAAATTGATATGAATATATGTGATTATCAGCAAAACACCAGATATCTTGGGAAGAGTAAACTGTCTATAAATAATACACAGAAGATTTCATTGTGTAAAAACGATGAAGAACATCAATAATCTAAGCAGACCCTTGCAAATGAAGAAAATACTTAAAAAGTTTACTTTGACAAGCAAAAGGAAAGATAAAAAGGATACTTTGGATCAAATGTAAAATAAATAGTTTAATAATGTCCTATTTTGATGTTCCCTCTGTAATTTACTACATTTCCCCTTCTCTCCCTTCCCCCACCTTTGTTGCATGTTATACACTAGATATGGATTAACAGACCTCCTGTTTGGTATTTGGTACAGTGTTAGACTGGATTAATATGAGATACATCCAGATGCAAACTTAGATTATTCTATGTATGTTGCATCAATGTCTAAATTTCACTGGACTCAAGCTGAGTGTGAAGTACCCCCTTTCTTCTGGACTGGGATGAGCCTGCGCACATACCTAACCATAAACCTAACCCGTAGTGAAGGTGAGGGGTTACATATTTAGTAGTGACAAATGCTGCAAGTCCCAAGTGTGCACATTCATTCTATCACCACTATGTTCATTTTGTGCAGTTCCTGGTCCCCAAAATGATAAAGAGAAGTTTGAAGAGCCGGGTGTAGGTATACTGTAGCTAAATGAAATGTTACATTCTTTGACAGAGGCATAGAGTACTATTTTCCAAGCACACATGATTCAGCAACAACAAAGAATAACAATTTATCTTAAATAATAAAATTCCAGTTCTGTATGAATTTAAATAATAAAAGAAATATATTATGGAATCACACGCTAGTATTTAATACTGTACTTTGGGTAAGATTCTTTTGAGAGTTTATCACAGAATAATACAATTAGAATGGGGCTTATAAAACCATTTGTGTCCAACCTGCTGCTTATTGCAGCAATCTAAGTCAAAGTATATTGACAGATGGGTATCCATGTTTGTCTTGAACACCTCCAGTGTTTTAGCATTTACTGTCTCCTAAGTAATTGGTTTTATTGTTGTACTACGCTTATATTTAAGAAGTTTTTCTTGATATTAAAATGAAATTTGGCTTCCTGTAACTTGAGTACATTATTATATGCCCTGAATTCTGGAATCAGAAACTTTCGGTGAATGCAATGTAATCTTACTGTGTGACAGTCCAGCAAGTCCTCTTTAAATTGCAACACCTTTTTTCTTACACAATAAATAGAAGGAAATGATCTTACTATTGGAAGGGGAGATAGCTATACTACATGGCAGATTCTCATCTCCCAAGCATGTGAATATAGTACATAATGTTTTTAAAGAGTAGGCTCTGTGGTGGTGACTGAGCTAGCTGCTTGCCTAGTTTAATGGGCAAGTGTTATGCAGAGCATATGGACTTGCTATTTGGAAGGGTAAAGCCATCCACTTCCTTTCTGAGTGATCAATGGAGTCAGAGAAAGACTGACCAACTGAGTGGTTGAGTAATTCCTTTAGGGAAAGATTTTTTTTCCCCATCATTCTGACAGAGGCAGTTGTAATACCACTGCTGAAGAAATAATGATTAGATCTCACCACACATTGTCTAGCTGATGGACCAAGGAGGCATGTTCCTGTTATTTCTGCTGGACCTCTCAGCAGCATTTGATGTCATCTGCCATGGTATAGTTTTGGACACACTCTGGTATCATGGGAGACACCACTTTGGGTATAGATATACCTGACTGAATGTGCTCTAAATTGCAATGCAGAGGGGCTGTTGGGCTCTTGGGTATGGCCAAGACAGGCAGAAGGTAGATTTAGGTTTACTGGGAAGTCTGAGTGTTTTGCAGTAGATCAGCAACGTTCTGATTTCCATTAACTTAATAGCAGCATCAAAATGTCTCACCGCCACTCTCTCCTCCATCACCCATTTATGCTGCTAAAAAATGGAGTAGATTTTTGTGTGTGGAATGGCTGAGATCCCTTTTAGTTATGGTACTCAGAATAAATTTCTGGGTTCAAAATCCTTTAATTCTAAAGCACCGCTCTGATGTAATAGGATTTCATTTCTTCAAGATGTCTGTAGGAGATTGCCTACTCCCACCTTCTAAACTGGGACTAGGGATACAAGCAATTAATGAAAAGTGTTGTACTTGCTATGAAAGTTAAGATACACAGCTTACGGCCATTTCTTTATGTTCAGGTGGCAGCTATGGCCATACATGTTTGCCCAGCTTCAGCTGATACTCCTTTCTGGAAAAAGATAGGTCTGGCAGTTTTAGATTATCACAACCCATGGTGTGGAGCTGCCCTTGAACAGTGTTCAGAAATAGCAGCTAGTGTGAAAAACTACGGCCAGATGCTGTTTGCTGTGCATTTACAGACCACAATACATCAGCCTTCTATTTGTTGCATTTGCTTCCAGTTTGTTTATTGGTTCTTCTGTATAAAACCACAGCTGGCTTGAGACCAGGCTATCAGAAGGATCAGCTCTGCTGGTATGAATCTGCTGTGCTAAGCAGGAGGCTTTGAATGGAGATTTAGAATATGGCAGCCTGCTGTACTTTAACTCTTCGGTTTTTGCAATATTTATTAGAGGTAGTTTTGAAGAATTCAAAAATAACACAAATTTACAGATATATTTTCTTGGGGACAGTTTACTTTTTTGCCAAACTGCTTTTCTCCTTTAATTTTTTTCTCTCAGACTTTGTTTTGTTACATTGTAATTAGCATTTTAAAAAAACAGATATGACAGTAAAGGCTTTTTGTAGCAAATAATATGTTGTTTGTATTCACGAAGGCTTTCACAGCCGGGATCTATATTGTTTATTTGTCAATCGTCTGGTAGGTACATTTCTACAAACTTGTGTTTTTAGTAAGAATAAAAAGAGAGCTTTTAAATTTTATTTTTCTTTCCAAACTGTCTCTGTTCCTATGCAAAATCAGGTCCAGCCATACTGTGCTGCACACAGGTAGAAAATATCAGCCCTTTCCTTTGTCCAAAGAAACCTACTATGTTTATCTGCTATGTGCAACTGTCCAAAAAATAAAAGCATGTTTAAGCCCCATCCCTCAAGCAAGAAACAAAGCTAGAGATAGTCCATAATTACAAGAAGAAAATCCTTAAATAATTAAAAAATTTGAAGGTTCGTGCACACGATGGTGCTGGCCCTGATCATTCCAGGGTTGTTTGGAATCATTCTGGTATCTTTTGTTGCAGATTTGGATAGATGATCCCAGTACTGTAGTTGCATCCACTCACATGGACAATATATGTCTACATGATAAGATCATGCACTGGCATAAAGCAGAGCAAATATACACTGGCAGGTTTTGTTGGTCTGAAAAACCCTGGAAAATAAGGTCTTTTGTCCCATTTTGACTCTTGACTCCACTTTCAGACGTACATCATGTGACAGTAGGAGCAATACCAGTATCATGGGCACAAGAAAAGTGGAACAGATTATCAGTATAGACAAGCTCTTCAGCGTCACAGTAGGAACGTCTTTGGGAATATGCAAATT